TCATTAATCGTGTGCTCCATGGCCGGGTGCCTCAAAGAGCAGCAGATGACACAAGCCCAGCTGCTGCCGCCGCCCCTCCTCAAGGTAGCGGGGCAGGGGCAGGTGCACTCCCCGCGCCCTCTGCTCCGGACTAATCTATTCTCCTGCCTTGTCCTCTGCCTTTCATCTCCCCCAGCAGCCCACGCTGACAACTGTAAATGAGATTAGACTCCAAGGCGTGGGGCAGATGCAGAACCCCCTCTGAGCATTGCCAAGAGACCCTTGTAGCTTTTAAAATGTCTGTCCCCTTTACAAAGCACAGCTTGGCGGAGGGGGAGAAGGGGGCACATTTCTTGTCACACTCTCAGAAGCATCTGATGGAGCAGACAAGGCAGACCCTGCTTTGGGGACTGGATGCTCTTGTCACCATGGACAGTCTCCCACCAGCACCCCTGATTCTCCAGTTCACCTTAGGAGATGAAGTAACAACTCTATTATTATTTCCTAATTCCCATGACCTCTTTGCAGTACCACCCCACTTAATTATGGACATATCAACACCACTCTGAAAAGGCAGTGATAGTCCAAAGTTCAGGCAAGGACTTGCACACAACCCTGTGCTCAACCCCCCTGCCTGTACTTGCTGCTCTCACTGCCATCATTTCCTATTCTTCATATTGCAGCCTGTGCTCCTGCTGCTCCCAGTGACCCACACAACCCAGCAGTGAGACACAAGGTATTTGTCAGAGAAAGAAGTAAAATCTCGAGTCACAAAGCACTGCCTACAGCTCAGCAAGACCTGCCTGCAGAGGTCCTGCAGCCACAGCTGGCAGGGGCTTGCCAGCAGCAATAGGCAGGGAAGCTTTTCCAAGGGAAGGGTGATGTTTAGCTCAACAGTGCCCCGGTAAACAAAATGGAATTCCTTTTACAGTGTGAGAAATAGTTTGTCCTGCCTGTGCTAAAGGCTGTCCAGAGAAAAGATACACAGTTAACATAAAAGCTCATTGAGTTCAAAATAACTCCCTTTCTTGGTTACAACCAACCATGATAATAGCTGGCCTGATTTTATGGATTGCTTTGCAATTTCAGTCGTGCAGGAACCAGTCCTGGACTTAGGGCGGCTGCAAAGTCAGCATATTTTAAAACATACTTTAATGTTTATGAGACCATGGCAGAGCAGGTTCAGCTGCACCCACTGCTGGTAGTGTCAGCAACTGAACTCTTCCTGGCAAGTGCATATCTCTCCAGCCTTGTTTCTGAGCTCAAGTTTTCCATTAGCTGCCCACACAGACTGGGTAACTTGGCATCTCTCTGCATTCCCCATAAATTCTGTTCATCTGTTGCCATCACGCCCACGTACAAGTCTCAGGAAGGAATCTAAGATTTCTAAAGCAGCTGCAACAAAACACAGGCTGGATTGACAAGCAACAGGATCAAGGTGGTGAGCCAGTGAGGAGGGTCTTTTTGGAGAGTTTTGTGTGTATCTATTTAAAACAAGTTTGTTGTCATGACTACAAACCAGGGTATGGGTGAGAAGTGAGAACTCCAAGATGAGGGCTGATAATGTTAATTCACCCTCGAAATCTCAGCAGCCATGGGGAAACAGAGAAGATGATACAAGCACTTGGCATTTAACAGGGCTGAAAGCCATTTTCAGAAGGCAGGTCTGTCCTAAGAACAAAGATCACCCTCCTGGACAGCCCCTTTCCCCCAGCACAGCCAAGGGCTGGATAATTCCGATTAGCTGCAGCCATGGCTAAAGCAGGGGCACTGGAGACACGGAGGCAAGGAAGGGCACTGAGGCCCTGGAAAGGACACAGCAAAGCTGGAACTGCCCCTCAGGAGACTCATCTGCAGACTCTCTCTCTAACCATGAACTTGGCTTCAGCGAGGACAGGGAGATGTTCCCATGCCTGTGCAAGGCAATTAACAGGGATCTTAATAGCACAGAGAAGTGTGAAACTATCAGGACCTGCTCCTGGGACTGTCACATTTGTAACTCTACCAGAAGATTAACGAAAAAATGGGGTTTTGGCCAGCAAAGGACAAATGAAGAAACCCCCCAAGTGATTGCAGAGGGATGGAGAGGCAATGCCTTGCTCTGCTCAGAGCTCAGATTCCAAAGGAGCCAGCGAGGAGTGCGCAGGGATGGCGCAGGCTCTGCAGAAGGCAGCAGATGTGTGTGTGTGGGTGGAGGGTGTTTATGAGCACAATAAATAAATGTATGAATCCCTATAAAAGTTCCCATATAAAAGTGAGTTAGAGCTGCCCGAGGGCCGCGGCCTCGTAATAAAAATCACATCTTGCAAGCACAGTATGAAGCAGCAGCTGAGCTGGAACTGTCTGGCTGCAGCACCGCAAAGCTTCGAGGCTGCTGCTCCCAAACTCTCGGGTGAAGTGCTGACCCCACTAAATGCAGGAGGCATTTTGGTACTTGCTTCAGTGTAGTCAGGATTTTGCCCTGGGAGGGGCTTCATTGAACCTCAAAGAATAGGAAGTAGTTCTGGGCCTGACTTTTTGTCAATTTTAATCCTTTTTACTTCTTAAAGAGAATCAATCTGCAAGTGGCTGAAGATCTTGGCTTGAGCCACTGACAGTTCCCAGTGTGACAGATTAGAACTGAATCAAAACAAATAAAAAATTCCTCCAGAAAGCATGGTCAGTCTCTCCTCTCCCCCAAAATAACCAAGCAAAAAGTACTTCTTTATGGCTGAGCAGCAATTTCCATCAAAAAGTTTTGAATTTTTAATTAAGATGTTGGGAGGGGGGTGACATTAAAAAACCAAACCCTTTAATTTTGTATGTCTAAATAGAAACATGCTGCTTTCTTTTGGTCATGAAACTTAAATAAAAGTTTTTAAATTATCTCCCCACAGGAAAAAAAAAAAGGAAGAAAGAAAGCATTAATAATAATTTTTCCCCACTCAAAGGCTGGGGAGGGTGTGCTGACCTCTCCTTGACACTGTTTTCTGGGGTGATGGACTATGACAGCAACAAGGCACTTGCAGAGTCCCAGCCTGTGAACTCCCAACTGCTCTAACACTTTCTCCAGAGCCTCCTCTTGCTCTGCTGCTCTCCTGGGAGGTGATGAACACAGCCCCACGTGTTCCAGCTGAGAGGGGGGCTCTCAAACCTCAGTCCCAGCCCAGACACATGTGCACCTTCCACCACACATTCCCACTCCAAGTTCACACACAGCCAGGTCCCAGCTCCCAGGGAGGGCTGCAACTGTTCCCAGTTTGAACACACAGGCTTTCTCCAGTTATTAAGGCCATCCTCATGTTTCACATGGATGCCAATCAGAGCTAAACAAAATGTTCCTACGAGCACACTGCTGCTGGGAATAGCAACCTTGTTCCCTGACAAACGGCATCTTGCACTGCACTGCAGGACTAATTGCACTGCTCTGATGTCAGCTTTGCCCGGGGGCAACAAGGGGCAACAAGGACATCATTGATTTATTCAGGACTTACGACTGGTTGTCACAGGTTTCATTCTCTTTGATAATAAAGCCTTACAGACAAGGTTTAAAATTCAGCTGCAGCCCTAATTGAAACATAGCTAATTACTGGAGGTCTGCCTTTACAGCCAGTTCCATTGTCGCTGGGTTAATGTTCTGTAAATCCAACAGTCAAACTCTCCCTTCCCTTAAAAAGTGAAAAAAAAAGAAGGAAAAGCCCCCATCTACTATTCAAGCAAGTCCAATGGGAAATTACAGATTCCTCTCTTTGAGCCTGAGGTAGCTGCCAGCCAACAGCCCCATCCCACAAGGGCTCAATGACTTCAAAGGATGCCTGTAGAATCAGCCTCCAGATTAAGGCCAGTGTTGGAGACAGGAGAATTCAAAGTGGCTGGAACAAACCTCCAGCCCAGACCACAAGCAATTCATTGTGCATCCACCTTTTCAGTGGCAGCAAACCCTCAGAGCCCCAGGAAATTCCAACACACCATCACGGTTCCCCAGCTCCCACCCACCAGCTGGCTGTGCTGCAGTGCAGGCACGTGGAGCAGCACTCGGTCGCACTGACAGGGTGTGAACCAGCACTCACCAGAACAGGCAGCCCAGTTAATGGCTGGATGAGAACAGGACCCCCAGGGTACCAAGGACATCCCTTCACACACTGCACCACAGCTTTGGCTTTGCACTTCAGCCAGACACAGAGGCAAGATTAGCGCCTCATAAAGCAGGGATGAAATCCCATCCCAACTTTACTGCCAGTCAGAGCAAGCTCCCTTACAGAAGGTGACATTTACACGCACACACAACTGCACAGAAGTTTATGACATCAAGAGATGGCTGCAGTTTAAAAGCCAGTCAACCCTAGAAAAATCCTCCAGTTTATAGCTGCTTCACATTCCAACCTGGCACGTGGAGGGAATGCCACAAAGCAAACACGTCAGTTAAAGCAGCTAAAAGCATCATTTACAAACTAGAGCCCACCACCCAAAATCTCTGCAGCTCCAGCTCAGAGCTCTGCAGAGCTGTGCTGATTTCAGCCAGCTACAGGTCTGACCCAAGGCATTTAACACGACCCAACTACAGTCTTGGGTACAGGAGCAGATACTTTGCTAATCCTTTGCTAATAGTTTCAAGGAGCAGGTGCTCCCCGGAGGATGTAACCCCACACAAGTCAGTTTAGCAGCTGGGGAGCCATTTCCAAGAGCACAGTGCTGGTTTTACAGGTCCTGGTCTGCCTGCCTGAAAGACCAGAACATCCTTTAATCCACAGGCAAGGACAGCACAACTGGCAGCACACAGAGCAGCACCTTGGCTCAGCCCCCGTGCCAGCAGGGATGGGCTCACTCCTGTCCCTGGCTACTCTGAAGAGGGGCTGAGAGAAAGGCCCAAAGCAGTCGTGATAATCATGATTTGCACATCAGCATCCTGGGAGCTGGGAGCAGGGAACACATTCCTCCTAGGCTGTGTTTGAAACGCAGGGAAAAGCTAGCACAGAGGGAATTCACTGGAGGTTAAGCTCTTTGCTCACGAGACAGAGACAATACATCAGATGTTCACATACCTGATCAAACAGGGCTTTCCAGTGCTGAGAGGCAATGCATGAGGGAGGAAAAAGAAGAAAAAGAAGGTATAAGAGCAACGACATTAACATGCAGTAAACTGTAGAAGTACATTCTAACAGAGGAATAGCCAAATGATTTAATGCCATTTCCAGCATCCTTCTTCATCCCAGAATCACCTACCCTTCCGGGGGAGGAGGCAGGGGGAATCTACCAAACACAGGGAGGACAGTTTTCATTTACAAATCCAAATTAGGATGAACTCAGAACATTCATGTGTTAATTCTGTTTTCTCCCTCTTTGTCTACTTGCAGGCAAGCAAAGAATAAAAGGCTTTTTTACTCCCAGGGATCAAGAAAGCTTGGTGTATATTGAGGGGAGGGGGGAATTAGCAATGGTTTTTCAGATCACTCTCTCAGATCCTGTGGCCCAACCCTGACCCCTCGATTGCCTTGCTGGGTTGTCAGAGCCCTGTCTGCTGCCTGCCCCTGACTCTGGCAGGGATTTGCTGCAGGGTCTTTAACAGCCCACCAGTTTTCTGAACCTCACATGTCCACATTTGGAAAACAGGTAATTCCTCCCGTGCAAGGTGGGAGGGTGGAAGGCTGGAGAGAGCCCATTATATTACTCCATACCTTTTGTTCTAGCAGAACTGCCTTAAAAATGCTGTATAGAAGGAAGTTCTACTTCAACACACACAACCATGTGAACACTCCAGAAGTCCTTGTCATTTGGGAACAGACAAAACCAGCTGGAGACTGGCTCTGATTTATGTTTTGTAGAAAGACTGATGTCAAGTCACCTCTCTAACCCAGACTTGCTGTCTCAGTGTCCCACGGAACAGAGGACATTCTTAATAAATTGTGTAAGGCTCTCTCATCTCTCCTGGATTTAGGGACCAGTTCAGAAGACAGCAACTTCCATGGGGCAACACTGGGGTAACCACTGGCTTGGGATCTCCAGAAAACACCTTGCACATTTCCAGCTCTGCTGTCTGAAGTGCAGTTCAGCAAAACATTTTGTTTCTGCCTCATTCACTGCCCCATAAAAGCAAATAACAAATGTCAGACTCAAAGAAGCAAATCTCACTGTGCTGTAGGCAAAGCAGAACTCTGGGGAGAGGCTTATCTAGTCCTGGAAGAATATTTGCTTTCACATGGTAGGCAGATCTAAAGCAGAATTGACTGGAGTGACACTGGGATATCAGGCCACCGAATTCCTTTCCATTAGTTAAGTTGTTGGCTCCCCTCCTCCCCATCTCTCCCTCCATTTATAAACTCCCATTTATCATCATAAATCAGCCCAGCACTTTAAACAGAGCGTATTGGGACTGCCTGGATCCTGGCTTTGTGGAATGCTGCTCTGAGAGCTGCAATGACATCACAGCTGAGCTTTTACACCCTGCCAATGCTGTGGCAGCCAAACCTCCACTACGTAATATTTTTGTGGTTAATAACACATAAAGAACTGACCCTGTGTCAGTTCTTGTTGGCCAAGCCGAGAGCTCCCATCAAGCTTTCAGATGTAATACCAACAGAAAATCAGCCCCCAGTGAGGTCCCAGGGGGACACAGAGCAGTTGGAATTCTCAGAGATGATGCTCTGTAGCCTGCTTGTTCCAGCAGGAAATCTTGGCCGAGGAGAAGGAGGGCATTTACACCACTTCCTGCTCTTCTGACTTGCAGATGATACACGATACCTCAGGCTTCTGTCACATCATCCACTGCCAGGTCTCAGCAGCTTCCTGTAACCAATGCAACTGCAGCTCTGGGGCTGCTTTGTTGATGATCGAAAACAAGGTACCAGGGTCAGGTAACAATGCAGATCCCACACCAGTAACAACACACTGCGAGCTGGGGCTGACCCAGGCTGTCCTACCTCAAGGTCAAGCAGCAAATCACCAGCAGAACTGGGATGAGAATCTAGACTTCACCAGGGAAAGCTCCTGTCCAAGGAGCCCAATCCTGCCAGGCACTCAGCACTTCAGCATCTCCTGGTTCCCTGGCAGGATGGAATTGCTAATGGCTCTGTTCATGTAGAGGCTGGAGGAACTCCAAGGGGCCCATGTGTGTCACAACAGGAAATCTTTCTTGGAGGACCATCCAGACAAGCACAAAATTTGTCAGAGAAGAAAAGGTCACAGGCTGACGCAAGCAAGCACTGGGACTTGGAAACCTGGACTGTGAAAGCTCCTGGAAAGCCACCCTTTCCAAGTCAAAGCTACACATCCCCCTGGATCAGGCATCTCCTCCTAGGACTGCCTGGCAGTGTTGTAGCAGAGGTCAAACTGCATCACATGTTCCCTCCTGACTGCACAGCGCTCAGGGATACAGCCCGGGGAATGCAGCTCTACCAAGCAACTGCATTTCCTCCGCTACCCTCTGGGGGGAAAATCCAACAGCAACCGAATTCTAGGTGACTCAGAAGGAAGGGCTGGGGCATGAGGAGCGGGCTCTGTCCCTAAACATCCCCGGGCAGGTTCCTCCAGCAGCGTCAGAAAGTAGAGAGCAAAGGGGATGCGCCGTTGCTGGAGGCTCAGCTCCCAAGTGTCCCTCTCGTAGCCGTGCAAGAGCCGAGCCAGAGCCCGCTTCAGAAAGACGTTTAATACCTCTGTTCATGTCTCATTGGCAGGAGCAGACCCTGCGCTTACCGCTGCAGACTGGGCAGACTCTTTGCAGTCCTCATCCCAGCCGAGTTTGCTGGGAAGGAGAGCTGTGAACAGTCCTGGGATGCACCAGGAATGCAGGATCTCTCACGTTTGCTCCCTCCCAGACAGGTGCACAGCGAGCTCCTGCCTCCGGGACCGGCAGGCACAGAACAATCGCCTCAGCTCTGCAGTCTCTGCCGCTCAGCCTGGCAGGAGCAGACTCGGTGTCCTTCTGGGCTGCGTGAGCAGAGGCAGAACTCCGGTGCCAAGTTATCCCATTCTCAGGTGCAATCAGAGCTCGGAGGGTGGAGAGAAGCCATCAGCCCCGCCGAGCCGGGGAAAAAACTTCCTCGGCTGTTTGTTGCTCGGGGGCTGGAAGAGGGAGCAGCTCCCGAGAGCGGGAGCGTTTCGCATCTGTCACCCTCCGGGTGGCCGGGACTCTGGAGAAGCTCTCGGTCCCCCGGAGGCCCCTGGAGCCAAGGCGTCAGCCCCTCTCCGGGCTCCAGGGTCGCCTCGGTGCGCAGCCCGCTGCCCGTGCCCGGCAGCCGCAGCATCTCCGCGACGGTCGCGGGCACCGGGCGGACCGGCCGCCTGCCCGGGCCCCCGGGGCAGGGAGCGGCGGGAGCGGCGGCCCCGGGGCCGGAGCCGGCCCGGCGGCTGCCGGAGCCCGCGGACAGCGGCGGCGGGAGGGCGGCGGGGACGGCGGCTTTCCCAAGCCCCGCAGGGTCACCGGCCCCGCTCCTGCCCCCATCCCGGGATGCAGCTATGAATAGCCTGAGCCGATTAACCTGGCAGAGGGGGGAAGACACCGGGCGAAGCAAACTTACATCCTCCGCGGCCATAGGTAGGACATCCTCGGAGTCCAGCACCTCGATTTCTTCCGCCTCCGCGCTGGCAGCCACAGCAGGGGAAGAGCTGGCGTGAGGCTCCGGCAGCTTGTCTCCCATGCTTGGAAACGGTCCCCCTTCAGCCCCCGCCCCCCCTTCTCCCCAGATCCTTAAAGAAATTAAACCTAGCTGCCGCTTGGCAAACTTTCAAGCGCAGCCGAGCCTGCCTTCATGACTCCCGCAGCCGGCAGGGGAGGAAATCCTCCATCCAGGGAACATCCAATTAGCGCGGGCAGCGCCGGCGGGCGGCATCATCCCGGCGGCCGAGCTCCGGCCGGGGCACTGACCCCTCCCCGCCCGCCGCCGCCCGCCCCCGCCGCCGGGCGGTGCCCCCGGCCCGGGCACGGCGGGCGCCTCCCCCGAGCCATCGCCCGGGGACGGGGGTCCGCCCTTCCCGGCGCGGGAGAGCCCCCGGGGGCTCTGGGAGACAGAGCCCGGAGCTGCGGCACGTCCGAGGATGCGGCTGGGCGGCGGCGGGGGAGCAGCCCCGGGGGAGCAGCACCTTGGGGGGCAGCCCCGGGGTCCCTTCACCGCTTCCCCCGGGGTGACCCGCCGAGGATCGGCCGTGCCCAGCGCCGGGCAGCCCCTGGGCCGGTCCCAGCCCGGTCCTGCCCGCGGGCAGGTGACCAGGTAACTTCTCCCTCCCGGAGAGTCCCACCGTGAGGGGCTGCTGTGGGGTTTTACATCTTGTACCGTAACGACTCGTTCCTGTATGCCAGGATGGGTAACTTAACCATCTGGAGCCCGGATTAGGAACTTGAGGAATGCCCTGACTGCAGGCAGAAATCCAGCAGTTTTAGCTTCTTCCAGTGAAGCACAGAAATAGCAGGTCGGCAAGGGGGAAGGGCGAGCAGAGCCGGGCTGAGCCACATGGTGCCAGTGCCTCTGCTTGCTGCTGCACCGACAGCCACAGCCAGCCAGAGCCAGAACAGAGAGAGGGTCCAGCACCACAGGCCACGTTTTCTGGGTGCAAAGGTCCAAAACCAGCTCAGCCACAAGGACAGAACCAAGCTACAAGTCCATCTTTTCTATACCAATTTGTTTAAAAAACAGACGACAACAACAACAATTAAAACCAAATGCAGCTGGAATACCTCTGGAAAAGGAATAGGATTTTCCATCCCGCAGAAGCGAAGCAAAGAAGTAAAACCACGACCTTTGGACCCGAAGAGCAGAACTTTTCTACCTCAGGATTCAGGCGGGAAAATGACAACAAAATAAAAGCTCTTCTGGGGTCTCCAGTGCCACTGATGAACAGGAGAGGTTCTGCCCCTTAAGGACCATCACCTTGAGCACAGCATCCACTTCTGCCTTGCTTTAGAGCCTGTCCAGCCTGCTCTCCCAAAGCATAAGAACAGGAGACCAAATCCAGCACTTCTGAGAAACACTAACCCACTTCACTCATACAACACCACCCCTGCCAAAATATTCCAGGCACTAAGCAGCTATTATAAAAACAATCTCTTTTTGACTCAAAAACTGAACCTCATCAAAACTTCAAAACAGATGGATAAGCAAAAATATGCTATGCCAACAGAGAGAAACAGCAATCATTTAAAGATGTCTGTAGGGAGGAGGGAAGCGAGTTTTTAAAGCAAAGAGAGAATAAATGAGCTGAATTTCAGGGGTAACAGGTTCCACACAGTTGGGGACTGTATTGTCTCTGATTCCAGATGCTGGTGGGAAAATGCCAACCATGAAGTGTAACATGAGTGCAATCAACAACAGGGAGAACCCCCAAAACCTTACCTTAGCACCAAACTCCCACTGAACTGGAAAACTGCTGCAAAATTACAAGTTCATTTTTCTCCTCTAAGGAATGTTTTTCACTAGTGGTAATGACAGTTTGGGGTTTTTTTTCAGGGAAATGTCTCTGCACATTGCACATATGAGCTAGTGCTGTGCTATAATCATCACAGAAAGGAAATTAACAGTATTCTAATGAGGAATTTTGTTACAGACAAATTATCATCTTGCAAGTCTGTGAGAGCCTCTTAATTTAGAATGTCATTTCTCCCCACTGCATACCCTGGTGACTCTACCTTGGAAAACAGTAATTGCTAGAGAAACTGGGGAGCTGGGGGCACCCCAGAGCAGATGCAGACAGAACATGGAAGGGCTTCAGAAGAAACTGAGACAGAAAGAACTTGAGATTATAAAACCTACTCCATTTTCACATTCAGTAATGTAGGCAACCTTTTATATTCCAAATACTACAAAGAAAATGTAGATATACATCCTTCCTGCATTGGAAGTGGCTAAAAAGGTCAGCTCATGAATATGCAATAAAAACCCCTCAAAGTAGGGACCCAGCCAACATCTGCTAGCTAAGCCTCCTGGAACAAACCTGAACAGTTTGTTCACAGGTCCTTTTTCCACTCAAAGTAGCCCCAAAGGGCTTTTACAAAACTGCCCAGCTCTCACAACTGGAGCTACATGGAGCAACCTACCCAGCTTGATTTCCGTATCGGAGTTCAGCCCAGCCAGCCCTGGGAGGAAGGAAAATGAGGTATTTGGGATCAGAAACACAAAATGCTGCACCCAAACACAACCCCAGGAAGAAATTAGGCAGCACATACAGCTGGGACCGGATCAGACCTGTCAGATTAACCCCTTCAGGCTCATGAAAACGGCTAAAAATCTTTAAAAATCACGGATGGTTTGAGATTGGGGTTTAAACTGAGTCCAAAAGGTAACAGTGGCAAAGGGCTCTTTGAGCATCAGTGCTGGGACAACACAAGTTTAGAATCAATATGAATTAGACTCTATGTGCTGCCTTTTGGCTTCTCTATGACTCATGGATACTTTCCCTCCTGAAGAGAAGGAATAGTGGGAAAAAATAACGTCCAACCTCTTGTCTGATTTCTAACTTGTGTTGAAAGCCTGTCCTCCTGACCCTCCCTATTCCCCATGTTATACTTAGAGCTTTTTCAAGTCCAGCACTGAAAAGCAGACTCTAACCTTTCCACCTGCAGCTCTCTTCTGCCCCAGTAGCTGTTATTGGTTGCAGCTGGTTCTAATTGTCTTTTTGGTTACAGCTGGAGAAATAACTAAATCTGCTATTAGTCCTTTTTTGGGGTAGTTGTCTTAAAAGGGAGCCCTCCTTTTAAATACTCTTTAGGGGTATTTAAATAATATCTTTATTTAAATAATACCCTAATACCTTTAGGGTATTTAAAATGTATCTCTGCCCCTTTTTAATGTTACCTGATGGGATCACAGCACAGGTTCATTCTGAATCAAAAGAACTATTTGAAATGGAGACCAATTAATAATTCAAGGTTAATTTCCAACATAAAATCAAGTCTTGCTTACTATAATTCCTGAACTGACAAGCTTTCAGACCAGAGGTCAAAGCCGAGGGGTGAAGGATGTGTCTCCAAGGAAGAATAATCAAGGTCTTTGTCCTTTGAGTGACTTTACATCATGACAAGGCAACTCATGCATCAGACTGAACTGAGATGGAGTCTGGTTGTGGAAAATACAATGAAAGAAGTTGTTAGGAAACCCTACAGGACCAGAGGAAAGAAAACAAAGCTGCTAAGAGTGAATGGACTGGGCTGCTGCTCCTTCTCCCCAGCACTTAACAGCAACAGCTCGACTTTTTGGACTTTCTTCTTTATGCGCCCCATGAGTAGAACAGTTTCCCTTACGGTGATTAGAACCCTCACAGGATCCGGGAGGGCTTGGCCAGCGGCACGGGGACATCGTGGTTCTTACCTGGGGCTGCCTCAGAGAACACCGCCCGCCCGAGCGGGGCCGCAGCAGAGCTGGACACCAAGACCTGTGTCTCTTCCCTAGGCAAGTTCCTCACCCCAAACGCACGGAGAAGGGCTGTTTTATCACCGCCGGCGGTGCTGCGCTCCGTCCCTCACCTGCGCGGGCAGGGCGCGGGGCCGTGAGGGCGGGCGGGCGGCCCCTCAGGGCGGGGGCGGTTCCCGCGCCTCCCTCGGGGCCGCGTGGGGCGGCCCGGGCAGCCGCCGACCGGCAGAACCCGCTCCCCGCCGGGCTCCGAGCGCCGGTCCCGGGCTGATGGGGGTGTTCCGCAGGGCAGATGCAGATGCAGATCCCGATCCCGATCCCGCCGGTCTCCGGGAGGACGGGAGCGTTTCCCGCTCCCGCCGGGCCCGTCCGCTCGGCGGCAGCGCCCCCTGGCGGCCGCTCCCGGCTCCTCCTTGAGTCCCTGGGATCCCTCGGGAAGGTCCCTCGGGAAGGTCCCTCCGGAGAGTCCCGGGAATCCTCCCAGCTCCCGGGAACGCGGCACTGCTGGCGCTTGTTGAATTGCAAATAACAAAGTTCACGGTCGACTGTCGGTATGTCACCTTTCGAGTATCACAGAAGTCACTTTGGTCTGGTATAAATTAGAAATAAACCTCTAGTGGAAGCAGCACAGTCATGAGAAGGATCAGAGAAACCACAGAGCCGAGACGTGTCACCTCCAGGCACTGAGGGCACCGAGAGCCTCTCACATAAAGGACAAAGTTTTGTTAAACTCCTCTTTTTAAGGGCAGAGGAAGGGAAAGAAAAAGAAGATACACACAAACACAGTACACAGTTATTTTATTGAAATACTTGAAAAGGCCAGCAATGGAAAAATAAGTTTGTCATGAGGAATTAATGTTTGTTTTACTTGATCGTTAAAAAAGCTGTGTCTATATGTAATTCTAGCCCGGTACAGAATGCACTGTGATCCATGCAACTAATACCCTACAGTAGAATAGGCACTGTGTACTAGTGTGTTCTTTAAGGGCTATGACTGACAGATGCGAGAAATTAAACTGCAACACTTTCCGAATTAGAAACATTTAGAACATACAAATTTGCTCGTCTGATTCATAGGGCCTATAAAACACAACAGAGTGGAAAATGAAAAACAGATCACACACAGCAGATGAAGTTGATCTGGCAGTTCTTGAAGTTTATGTTTTTCCTTTTAAAAGAAAAACCAGACTCTAAACATGTCGCTGGTCATGTAAAATACAAAATCATAGGCCAGGACAGCAAAAGTGAGTTTTTCTTGAAATACATAATTAGAGGGGAAAATTTGTTCATCAGTTAAAAATATGAATGAAAATCACA